ATTCTTATAACTTAATTTCACTTTATTAACCAGAAGATCTTACTCATTCCTGTGGCCTAGAATATTTGCTTCCTTCCTCCTCCAAACCATTAATCAACTCTAAGTTACTAATGCCCTAAAAATCTCTATCGCAACACCATTTTACAGGAGGCTCTAACAGAATAATCCACTGAGTGGGATGGGGAAATTTAAAACATAGGCAGGAGGAGGATTATTCCTCCAGGGTCTAGGAAATGTAGGTGAGACGGGAAAGCTGAGAAATAAAAAAGTAGCGAGGATACAGATGGGCAGAAACCTCAAAATTCAGATAATGTTTTTGACCTTGGAAATTCTATTGCCTTTCCTTTCTTTCAAAAAGTGAAACAAGGTTTGTCTCTGACTCAATCCTAGATTAGTGTACTGTTTACATTTTTTCCTTATAGAAGAAAACTTATTTATCTGTTGTCTCCTGAATTTTTAAAAATGTCTTGTACATTTTCATTCTATGCATGCATCAAATATCACATGTATCCCATAAATCTGTACAAATATTATGCATCAATTTAAAAAAAGAAATAAGCTGAACACAGAAAGATGAATATCATATGTTCTCGTTCGTGTGTGAGAGCTAAAAGAGTTCAGCTCATGAGGTAGAGAGTAGAATAATGGTTACCAGAGGCTGAGAAGTAGGGGATGAATGAAAAGAAGTAGGTTAATAAGTACAAATATACAATTAGATAGAAGGAATAAGTTCTAATGTTCGATAGCACAGTAGGGTGACTATAGTTAACAATAATTTATTGTATTTCAAAATAGCTAGAAAGAAGTTTTGAAGTGTTCTCAACACAAAGAAATGATAAACATTTGAGGAGATGGACATCCTCATTACTCTGATTTGATCATTACACATTGTACGCATGCATCAAAAGTCATATGTACCCCGTAAGTATGCACAATTTTTATGTATCAATAAAGCAGGTTTTGAAATCTCAAAAAAGAAAAAATCCCCCATGCATTTTGATTTGTTTAACCAGTGGTTCAATGTGTTGGTAGTCACAAAGTATAAATACCGTGTCAACGCTAAGGAGACAAAGATGACCAAGATGGTCTTTGCTCTCACGGAGCTTAGATTCTTGAGCAGCCTTTGGTATGGGACCTAATTATAGTCCCTTCAAGTGTTCTCTGTCTCTCTTTTCTAGCCTATTCATCTCCGTTTCCTAAATCTTAGAAATCACATTCTTCCTTATGAGAGTCCGTGTCCCCACTACATCTACAGACTATCACAGGCTATGTGATAACAATATATTCTGCAATAAGTGTTTCCATCCCAGCAGGTAATGAAGTGAAACTCACCAAGTAGCCCATTTGTTGGGTGTTGTAGAGAGTTGTGCTCATGCCTGAATCACATTCACCACTCTGGAAATTTGACTGACTGCAATAATAGAGTATGGATTTCTACTAATAGTTATAAAATGTTTTCCAAATTTTTTGTCAATGCCTTTCCTAAAATCGTTTAAAACACATCGGTTATTTAACTTTAGATCACTTTATAGAACTATACTGTTTTACTGAATAGTCTATGAATTTCCTTATCAGAGGGTCACTAATGTCATATTGAGCACAACTATGGTTTAATAGGAACTACCCTTTCACTGACAAATCTTTAAACACCACCTATAATGCAATACCTAAAAGAAACTATTTAGAAAGGAAGGAAACAATGCCTTTCTCAACCTCCCTGTGTCTGAGACCAGAAGTGAAGTACAGAAGAAGTCATATTAA